GTGAGCTATTGCATTGACAAGCCCATGTTGGCAATGCTACTCGTGGGAACAGCCTGCCAATGCAACACAACTGTGTCATCACCCTGAATCAGGAAGTTGCTGGAATGATTGCCAAATAAATCTGGATCATTTCCTGTAAGGGGCTGGATAACGGAATGTGGCAGCCAAGGCAAGAGGACGATGAAGTCAAAGAGTCAAACATCTATCAACTAACAAGCTTAGACTCTAACAATGAAACCATAAAGCTGCTTAAATCTTGCCTGTAGGCTCTAGAAATATGTATGGCCTAGATCATGGCCACATGACTTGTCCTCTCAGAGCAAAGCAGTAAGTTTAGTTTTAGAATAGCTCTACATCATACTGTATATTACACTGCAGAAATTAAAGCTCCTCTCACATTTCAGCTACTAGATCAATCATTGCCAAGTCCTAGGGCTGTTTTTATAAAGGTTGAATTTCATGGCTGAAGTGATTTTGTGATTACAAAACACAGGACCGCAAAATAGATAGTGGAGAGTTCAGAACTTCAGGCAAACATGTTTTTCTTTCAGTTGTAACTTATGAGAGACAAAGAAAATTCTCACCTCATCTGATACTTTGAATCTTTTCAGGAGGGCAACAAACTTCTGCTTGAAATTGGGTTGCTATAGAGAAATTGAGAGAATGTCAGCAAAGTGATGGCACTTTTTGGTATGTGTTTTAGTTAAGACAGTAAAATAGGTAAAAGCAAAAGACTAAATGAAAAAATCAGCATTTACCATTTGTGGTCGTACTTATTATTAGGTGTCTTTAACTGCTATGTGCTTGCATCAAAAAATTGTTAGGTACAACAAACTTATGTTGTATTGCTAAACAATTTTGTTGCTATCAAGGTGGGATACAGTTAGGGTTAGGGACAGGTATGGTTTGGTTTTTAAGTCGCTTTGGATCAAAGCATCTGCTAAATGCATAAATGTAAATGTATGTTTAAGGTTGGGTTAAGGGGTAGGTTAAGTCAAAGTGTATTTAAAGCTGTAACTACAGAAATTAATTATAGATGTAATTACATGCAAGTATTTTTTTAAATATAAGTACAGAGTTACAACACAAGTTCATTGTATTGCATAATTAAATTTAAACACTTAATATAAAGTGGGTCCCAATTTTTTAAAATGTGCTTCAGAAAAGTGTAAGGAAATCTATATTAGTGTCGCTCTACTTTACACATTGATCCTGGGTTAACAATTGTGTTCCTGATGGTGAGCTTAGTTTAAGAGGATTAGAACATCACCTTCTATGACCTTCTGTGAACTAGATAACACTGAACCAAACACCACCTTTAGGACACAAAGGCAATTTGTCTTATGTCTCTATCAGGTAGCTGCCTGAAGTGACTTGTATCAAGACAATTAATCTATGATAATAGATTGGGTCATCTAACTACTGTTGTGATAACAAAGACTTCATTGTATGTTGACGAATATTGGTCAGCCAATATGGATTTTGTAAAGGCCAGACATGCAGAAACAAATAGAGCACAGGGTGGATTATTTGACAGCAATATACAGTATAATACAATTGAATCATATCAGCTATTGACACGGTTATCATATCAGTTAGCAAAACTGTTATTTCTGGTATACAAAGATGTTTTACAAATGGTATTCCCCAGGGCTCGGTTCTAGGTCCAATATCTTTCTGAAAGTGCTCAGATCTTTGTTACTGGCCCCCAAGGACAAATGCAGAGGGAGTATATCTGTACATACTCGGGTCATTGATGTGGTTCTAATCATTTTCCTCCGAGATTTTTTTGGTTTCCGCTGAACATCATCATCTTCATCATAAAGGTCCTAAAAAACAATTTCAGGAAATTTGATGCTTTTGTTATGTAGAGATGCTTTTCTAAAGATATGAGGCAAATTTTTTAATTAACAACAAGTGCAAAAACTAGTTTCTTAATCACTAACCACCCGAAGTCCTGTATAATCAGCCATTAAACAATGCATCAGTGGATGGAATTCTTTTTTAGGGAAATTCTCCCAATACTCCCAATAAGTTAACGTATGCGCTGCAAACTAACACCAATAAGACTACATTCAAAGCAGAAAACAGGTAGCTATATAGAAATTTCACTTCATTTGAAATTTCATTTTTTTAGAGCAAGACATATAAAGACATGTTAGCAAGAACTCCTGACCTGGCCTTGAACAGCGTCATCACTCGCCTCTTGCTCTGACGAGTAACTATCATCGTCATCTTCAGAATAGTTATCCATATCTGGAGAACGGTCTGCAAGAGAAAGAGACATTTAATGACCCCATGTTACTTTACATTTTTATGCAGCAAAAGCCTCAGGCATACAGTACCATCTGACATCCAACAGAAAAAATCCCAAAGCATTAAAATGATTCATTCAAAACATGTAGCAATTTTATCGCTCCAATTTGAGAACACTTGAGCTGCTGAAGCTACTTTCCCTTTTAATGTACCGCAGCATCAGTCACTTTTTCTTTGTGTGTGCTCTGAGATGATGGATGGGAGGATGTTTTGTGGTAGAGAGTGTTTCCGGGGGACTTTTTTATCTTTATTGCAGCTTAATGCACTCAAACTACCCATTAGCATCTTTAAGTCAATGTAATGACTGTACAAAAAATACAATCACTGATGGAATATTGTGGTTTGTACAGTCATGCAATTGCAAGGACAACTGGGTATATGAAGTGGTTTGGCGTAGTGGTTAAAGATTTAGCCAGTATGTGTTCCCCTCCTTGCCATTTAGATGCTGTTACATTTGTGAAATTTCACTGGCAAAAAAGGTCCATAGTCTGTTGTCAATACTGTAGCGATGTTTGAAGCACAGCTCACACCAAAGTCACTTTCAAACCGAGCAGCTTTCTGATGGTCAACATGGCGAATCCACATGATCAGTTAGAACCCGTTGCAAAATCTGTGTAGTAAAATCTTTTGCCCTCACGTGATTCGCGATTGTGTGGATTCCTATTGAAATGACTGGACTGGCCACAGAAATTCGCACAACAACAGTTCTGTCATGACAACTCTCTGAGAGTTTAGCATGGTAATATACATGGCAATGTTAATGTGTTTACTCTTGGAGGAACAGATCTGCTTAGATGCTGTGGCAGAGCAAGTACTGAGACTTGCTTCTGCCAATACATCCACAGACATGCTGCTGTGAGCATGTAAGAAATACTGCTGCTGCACATATAGGCTATAAGGAATAACCCCGTAACAGAACTATACAGGTGGAGCTGGGGAAGGTGGAGGGTTTCTGAAGTTCGCTGCGGCTGCTTCAGCAAGCACTAGCCAAGTATTTGAATACTGACCAGCAAGCTCATTGGCTGCTGATGCAAAAGAAACCAATCACCTGCTCCATGTGAATAATGATGTGATTATATCAGATCGAGTTAGAACCTATCGGCCTGCGCCATCTAGAGTTTCATGACAGAACTTTGCATTAAATGTGACCACACTTTTAGAGTCATTTTCTATTTTAATATATGGATACATTTGTGTGAGTCACCTGAAGCTTTGGCCTTTGTCTCTGGCTGACCGCTGCCGTCTTCTGGGTCAATAGGTTGGCTGGACAGTGAATAAACACTCAGTTCCGCTGCACGCACCTGTGCTTCCTTCACGTTACTATGGAGACCTAAAATCTGGCCTCCATCTGTCGGGTGCTGCATCACCTTTAAACATAAACACTCAGAAATAAGTAACACATGGACAAAAGACTCAGAATTCTTCAGACGCCTTCTTGTGCTTTCAGCTCAACTACGGCTCATGACCTCCTTCTTTTTTTTGTTTTTTTGTCAATTCGAGGTTGCATTCCCCATCGACCTCTTGGACAGACGAATTGTCCCCTATGTTTAGTGTTTTCTGTGTTTGAGTCTCAACTGAATATGATTATCGCAGGAATCTCAGCAGAAAGGAATTTGGAATTTGCGGGGGTGAAACTGCAAAGATTAATTGCAGGCATTTACAGAAAGCTAAATAGCTGAATAAAATGTACCAGTAGGTCCATGCTCACATAAAGGCCCCCAACACTCCTATACACTAGACCTTTTTAGGAATAATTGTCTTGAAACAAAAGAACAAGATATATTAGTCATTGAGTGTTCTAACGTTCTAGCCTAATTAGTATTAACTCGAATGGCCCCAAATGAAGAGACTCTTACAAATACAAAAGAGAATGAAAATTTTGCACTCATTCCTTACTTTGAATGAATATCCACCTAATCATTCAGAGAACTTAATAATATTTGCATTCTAAAGATTCTGAGAACTGATACTTTCACAATCTTCACACAATCTATTGGTATCTATTGCCTGAAACTTTTATGTCATTATATTTGTAATGATGAAGTTGCAATTTAGAACATTAACTTTAAAAGTAATACTGACTAACACAAATGTATAATTATAATCAAGTACTTTACATGTGCTTTAGTATGTTGGTTAACACATTACAACAAGTGTACTTCTTTAAAGCGCTACAAAAGATTATTAAACCAAATTGATTTACAATGTATTTTGAAGTAAAGCTTTTAATTTGACATTATAAATTGCACCATTTAAAAGTGTAAACAAATGCATCTGATAACTAGAGATCAGTCTTTTACAGTGCTGTGGTGGGTATATATATATATTATCTGAAGGTACTTTTTTTTTTTATATATACTTTTTAAGATTTGCGATTCACTAAAGTGCACATTTAATACACCTGTTCTTCACAAGGGGTGACACATAAACATTGGGCTCTTCAGTGAATCTATGGAGAATTTAGATATCTGCCATTATTGTCAAAGAGCTAGCAAGACTGCGGCAACAATAGCCAATCCATCACTATGATATCAATGCATATGGCTCCTTTAATGTGTGATGTGAGAGAACATGTATTGACATATTGACTTTACATGAAAGCTGTGAGCATGAGCCATTTTACTACTGGAGAAGGGTGAAATAAAGAGGTCACAGCCTGTCTGGCAGAAGCTTCAATGAACTGGACACACTGGTTTGTGTGATTGATTTGCCTGTACCTCAGCCATATTAATAACACCAACAGCCAGCGTCTTGTAGCCCAGAATAGTTCTGTTTTTATAGCGTTTCCTCCTTTGAAGCATGATCTGCAGCCGGTTGGCATCTCTCTTCAGGAAATGTGGGTACTAAAGAAAGGAAGGACAACAGTACAGTGATTTGAGCGTACTGTTGCTTGAGATTACATCAATTTTATCAGCAACATTGTGACAACGGTAGCACACACACACACTTTATTTCATGAAATATTCCCATCATACTTCCTGTCAAAGCAACTCTTAAAGTGTCAGCTATAAATATCTGACCCAAACTGAGGAAAACAGAGGGTGATTGGAAGAAACAAAGGGAAAGTGGTAATGAAGTAAACACTCCATGCAAAGAGTACAAAACCCTTAAACATGAAAGCTTTCAGAGTAATTACAATTGTTCTGCATAGACATAATAGGCGGTTTTAAGTTACTGATATATTCTCACACATTATCTCAGTTAAATATGCAACTAGATAGGTCGGTAATAAAAGCAAAAAAAATATCACAATATTTAGAAATTTTGTTCAAAATGCTGTATCAAGACATTTGTTGTATTTTACAACATTTAAAATTTGAAAATACAATTTCAAAAGTAAAGGTAGTCCTACAACTCATTTGATTAATTTAGATTAAATTTACAGTCATGTAATTGCAATTGCAATATTTTTTAGATTTTTTTCCCCCTAAATGTAACACATTTTTCTTTTCGGTTTTATTTTTATAGGGAATGGGATCTGAAA